AGCCAAAACCTCCTGGGCTGTCGCAGTCGTCACCGCGGTCTTCTCGGTTGACGTCGTTCCTCCCCCTCCTCCTAGACAGCGGGACACACACAGACCAGCCGGTTCAAAGAAAATTGCGAGGAAACGAAACGGAATGCAGAGCCAAGGGGCCCCGCGGGTGCGACAAAGAACGGGCAAGTCGCGTGTTGGGATAAATAATTCTGGATTAAGAAGCGGCTTTGTGCCAATGCCGTGAGCAGGCTGTATCAGGCATAAACCGCCTCGATCAATACACCAAAGGCGGTAGAGGTGAAGGCATGGGCGAACCATTCCCGGCCGAAGGATGATGTGTTGGTAACCTGCTCATACAGATGGCATCATTCCAAAAACTGAAAAAAGAATGCCAAAACGAGATACAAAACGAGAAACTCCTGACGCTTCACCCCAGAAAACCATAAACCAACATTCTCACAACCGCACACACACACAAAATAAAACCCCACCCCCTTATGCATACCGGTCGCGTCACCCCTGCCGCCCGATGGAGCTCGTGCTCTCGGCGTCACGAAAGCTCCACCGCCACTCCCACCAAGAGAATTTGCACCGCCGCCACCACCGCTTGAGTGAGGCGTTCTAGGGGTTGGGGTATTTCCTCCCGTGCCCCCTGCACCCCCACGCCCTTCCTCTCGCAGGGCCTTGAGGACGGCGGCGTATCTGAGACAGGTCAAGAAGTGATTGATGGCCTTGAGTGGTACATAGGGCGGGGTATGTGCTCGAAACTCTCAAACTACAAGCGAAAAGTACATCACGAGCATCTTGGGGCCAGACACAGCATCTTCTGCGTGAACACACGCGACCATGGGATCCGTAAGAAAAAGGTTGTTACCTGTCTGCTGTCAATCCTGCGACACCCTACTCCCGAGAGTCATGTCAAGTCATGCCCGACCGACACCAACGCCAAGCCTAGTCTCAACACGGCAAGACCTCCACTGTCACGTCGAAGGGACGCTATCCCCGGCTTGTTCGCCGTCTTGTCGTGCACACCATTTCTGCTGCTACGCATACCCTCCAGAAAAAAAAACGTGTGGCGCGAACGCCTCCATTGACCCCGGGGATGGTAAGTTATTGTCCCCTGAATGTTGAAGACGCCTTCACGCGTGAACAAGCTTTTCTGAGATAAAACAAAATTGTGCTTTACCGCGGGTTTCATGGAAGGCTCCAAGGCGTTGAGCACCCCGTTCTTGCTCGACTACTGTGAGTGTAAGCACGATTGGAACGACTCCGATGTGCCAACAAGGCAACAAGGGGACTGTCTTCCTGCCCATCACAAAAACGATACAACAATAATAACAACAACAACAACAACCGAACCAAATCATAACCAGATCTCACATGTATAGGCCGAAGGCATCGAGAGTCCCGGCCTGATCGCACTGCGACAGTTCTGCGTGGAGCGTCTTGAGGTGCGGGTTGACCAGTCTTCGCCGCTGAAGAGCGTCGGTCAGTTGCGACTCCTCCTGCCGACAAACGTGATCCATCACAACGCAATCAGAGCACAAAGGAGGTGGCTGTACCCCCACTCCCGCCCCCCTCGCAGAACAACAGTTCTTGGCACAGTAACGGTTGAAAAAAAAACGTTTCGAGAGGAAACTGCTGTATCTGGGACACACCCAAGCGAGAACTCGAGGTCGCTCGGATCACAGGCAAGATACCACTAGGGATTCGGACAAATACTTCTAGACAGTGGACGAGCACCGTGTTGGTAGCAGACCCTGTGAATAGCTTACAGATTTACGAGTGAGGAGGATATCTGTGGATTATAGGAATTGGTCGACTTTCCGTCATGTCCACCCGTCGCCGCAGCCGTGGCGGCCGCGGCGGCGGCCGACAACAACAAGAACGGCGTCGCAGCCGCCGCGGATGGGGAGGTGCAAGCCATGGCAGAGACAGGAGAAGGCGAGGCGGAAGTTATCGATGCGACGTTTGCCGTTGAAGATGCCGGGGGAGGAGACGTCGGAGGCGGAGGCGGTGCAAATAGCGCCATCGCCAACAACTTAGAGGCGACTCTCCAACAACTCCTGGCAGGTCAGCAGCATCAGCAGGCCATCCTGGCGCTACAGCAGCAGCAGCAGCAGCCGCCGCAACAGGCACAGCCGGGCCGTCCTTCAACCCGCTGGTGGCCTACGCCCACCCCCACGGCTTCCGGCGCCAGCTGTCCCGGCTGCCGCCGTGCCAGCCGCTCCACCCAACCCAAAGAGCGCCGGTGTGAAGCAAACCGACAAGAGACTTTCCGAGCTATGGAACTCGACAGCAAGGCCCAAGGACTTCGTGCTACGCGGAGGCTACAACGTCGTCGGCCGCCCGATGGACAAGGCCCGCCTGCTGATGCTCAACAAGGATCGAGCACACATCATCGACCACTTTGCCGGCGTGGCTGTGGGGACGACGCCTTCGGGCAAGGGGGGGAACAAGTGCTCCACTTTCCAGTCCGACATCGAGGTGATTTGCTTTGCGGACTGGTCGGTGATGTGTGCTCGATCCTTGTCGAGCATCAGCAGGCGGGCCTTGTCCATCGGGCGTTGCGGCCTCCACGTAAAACAAGCCAAGTACACGAGAGGTAATCAAACACCCCGGGCATGCCACCATCGAGGAAAGAGGTGACCCGCTCGCTGCTGCTGCTGCTGCTGCTGCACGTCGCACCACAGACCAAATCGTACAACACGACTGTGCCCGTCAAGTTCTTCGGAACGTACACCCTTGGCCTGTTACTACCAGAAGCGCATGCGTTTATCTTTCGCATCACCGCAGCGTTTCGACCACGTGAATGCCGCGAAGTCGCATCCGAAAGGGATCGCCCTTAGTTTCTGGACGGTCTCCTACTAACTAGTGCAGCACCCACGCGTTCAGGACCACCCCGATCAGTTGGAGGAGATTGATGGTGGTACTGCTCATCTCGCGGCATGCGGCCTCGCGTTTTAGTTCAGCCGAGAAGGCAAGGCGTAGTTCGCATCTCCAGAAAAATCTGAGTTCTTGGCAGTAGCCGGCCACCCACTGCGTCAAAGCTCACGTCTGGCAGGTAGTTCCTCTTGGCCTGGCGTTTGATCGCAGCGTAACAAGGGGCGCTCAACGTCTCGCCGACCGCAAGCAAAGTTCTTGGTCTATCGCCCCACCTCCAAAATTCTAGATCGTCGTGATAGTCTCTTCCGAGCCCTATGAGTCGGTTCTGGTTCTTGTTCTGCGTCGAGTGGAGTCCGGTAAGTCTACACAAACCTCACCTCGCGCCGCCTTTCACCCGCAAGGAAGAGGGAGTACCACCCAAGGAACCGGGCTCGGGAGTAGAGGCCGCCCGGAACGGAGCCTGCCGCCGCTGCAGCAGGCCAGCTCTTGTTTCCGAAAGCCTGCGACGCCCTCTCGAATTCCCCTGGGCATCGGCGTGGTTTCGGGGAGCTCGTTACTTTCCAGTTTTCACATCACTGTTGTTGCTATGTCGATGGGTTGTTGTTTGCATCGTCCCCCTCTCGGCATTCACTCGGCATCACATACTCCGAGCCAAACAGCGTGCCCTTTACGATCCTAGCTGCTTGAAAACCAGGTTGCCGAACGCCCGCGGTTGTGCTTGCAAACGCGTCGGCGGGGCATTGGAACAGTCTTGTCTTGAGGCGAAAACGCTACAATCTTGCTGATTCATGTGCTTGTGTAAAAGTGTGTACTGCTGTGCAACAGCTGTCGCGTTCTCGGTATCGAGAAATTTTGAGAGGTGAGGCGGTCGTCCCCGCCACCGACCAGCTGAGTGCATACACTTGTGCGTGTGTGTGCGTTGTTTTCTTTCCTTTCCTTGAGAGGCGAGTTAAAAGTAGTTCGTCTGTGCGTTGGATGGCTGTTTCGACAATCGGAATCAGGAAGCGAACAGTAACCCCCCATGTTTTTAGATAGCTACCACGGTGCTGAGAGGGACAGCCAACCCTGCCGCCACACATGCCACAGAGCGGGGCCATGAGAACAAAACATACCAGCCTGGTGTAAGAGATAATAACCTACCGTATGCAAAAGTGCACCTGGTGTGTGCCGGATATTGCCGCAGAATGAGTTGAGCACGACCTCGACCTCTTGGACAACGGCCACAACAAGTACATGTCATCACAAAAAAAGGCCAAAAGCAAGAAAACAGCAGTGCCAACAAGGAAAAGGCGAAGAAAAGGGGGGAAAGAACTGGGGCAACATGGGCATAGCTGCGATCTAAATAGCACAGGATGGTGCAAACTCGATTACATTTAAAAAAAACACTGGTTGGCAACCACAAGAGCGATCAATCAATCAACCTTCACACTTGGCCTTCTCACCGACATCCATCAGGGACTTCGCAAACGCTACGCGGCCCTGAAGCCGCAGATTCGCCCCCCCTTCCTGCTTCTGAGGGGTGGCTGGGTTTGGTTCCGCCGCGTACCGCAAGTCGTCGGGCGCCTCATCGTCAGGCAGACCGACCAGCTGCTCAGTAGCCCTGATTTTGCAACAAGACCATGGTGTTGTATATACAAGACAAAGAAATAAAAAAAGTTGAAAAACTTGGAGTATAGTACAGGGCACATCAAGTTGTGGGAGAAATAAATGCGGATGGAGAACACCAGAAGAACAAAGGGGGGACAGGTCTCAAGCAGTACCACTATCCCATACGATAGATAGCCCTGAATTTAACTTCAAGCCAGGACAATGTTGTGCGGGCGGAAAAACACCCGAGATGTTCAAACACAACGTCGCCGCTTTGGTTACGCACACGTCCAACATGACGCATGGCCACCCAAACAACCGAGACGTGAATCACCACTAGCACACCCGCACCGTCCGTAAGGAACAGGGCATTCGTGCGTAAACAAAATAAAAAAAGACAGCAACACCGCGGAAGCAGCCGCAACAACATCACAACATCACAACATCCCCGCCGCCATCAAGAATGACTCCGCATACCGGTACAATTGCAGTTGAAAACTGCAAAACTGCAACACAACACAGCCAAAAACTCACCATTTCGTGGCGAGCTTGAGGCCGTGGTTGGACAGCTCCTCCACTGCGCCCAGCAGAGCCCTGCGTATCTCCGCGGTTGGAGGCATCTGTAGAGTCAACGAAAGGTGGGAATGGAATCGTCGACTGATACCGGTTGCTCCCCCGCCATGTGAGATGGGTAGGGGAAGCGGTGAGGCGGGCAATAAGCTCCGACCCAATCACAAACCGAGGAATTAGCAGTCAGCACACAAATACACCCGGACTGGCATTGATTGGCCATTCAGGCCGTACTCACAAGCAAAATCTCGTGGGGTTTCCGCCTGCAACGACGGCTACTACAGTAGTGTACAGCAAACACATCGCTCCTCGGGATAGCATGTTCGACGTGCGTCAAGATTGGCAAAAAGCGAAGGGCGTCCGAACGAAAATAGTGGATAACAAGAAAAAGGGTTGTTTCCCGCTTGTGGAGAAGGTATACAAGAAACAAAGCCAACGCTCTCAACATAATAGCGCCACAAACAAAGGTGACAGCAACAGCAAATGATAAATCAGCAACAGAACAGAAGTACCTTCGGCCCGGATGTCGTTGCGAACGATGCCGATGCAGAGGCCCCGTCCCTTTCCCCAGGGCGCGGCGTGTCGATGTCCATGACAACCGCTGTCAACGGACCAAAAAGAGACACCCCAGAGTGAGCACGGGCTGGAGCAAAGTCTCCCACAAACCTCGAGCGTGTCTTCCAAAGCAAAAAGAGGGGTTGGTGAACACCGACTGCGGCAAGGATACGACACCACAACAGAGACGAGGCACATGCGATCGGTGTTGTCGACGCCCTGTCCCACGATGTCCTGCATGAGCTCAGGGGCACACAGCTTTCGATTGGCCAAGCAACGGCAGAAGAAGGTATCTGGGAGTTGTAGGGAAGCTGAAGTATTGGTTGCGTAGCTGCAAAAAAATAGCCGGTAACGCCACCCGCCCTGATGGGAGCGATAGCTACATACCGAGGTGAAACTCCACATGCTGTTGGGTTGTGCCCGTTTCGGTCGTGGACACACGCGCCGAAAGACCCTTCAGAGAACACACTCGAGGGTCATCGCTGTAAAGGTACAGGAGTATAGATATCGCGAACAAAGTGTAGACGAGCAATCTTCTCTCATATCCGCGTCCTTCGCGTCGACGGAACGGCGGCGGCGGCGAGTCGGTCCTACATAGATTACACAGCGAAGGCTTTGTATGCTGTAATACGAAAACAGGAGAGACGACCTCCGACCTTTAGTATTGTATGTTGCAGTAGATACCACACCCCCGATACCGATTTGTCAAAAGCTAAAGCTCAAGGCATGCAACGCGAGACGCTCTCGTGGCATTTTGGCCTCCCGAAACCTGCAGCACTTCTTCTTCTTCTGTTAGCCGAGCCGTACCGCGGTGGTGGTGTTAAGAAATGGTATGCGCATAGCTCCAGAAAAAACACCACCGCGTGTGCGTACTTCACTACGGGGAAGGCTCATGTCTCAAGTTATAGGAGAATATTATTTTTAGCAGCAGCAGCTCTGCAAGGATTGCTTACTTGCTGTATCTACATGTAGTCAGCGCACTCAGCACAGCAGTAGCTCCTGCTCCTGCAAACTGCCGACGGGAACAAGCTGTTGCATAGTTTCGCGAAGTCAAGGTTCTACTGCAGTAGCCGCCAAAACAAGGTGTGTCGCCAACGCACTACAGCAGTACTGTTGGCAGCGGGCCTCTCGACACTCGCAACCGAACGCGCCCTTATCAGGGCAGTCAGCCTTGCATCCCAATTCAAAAATTACGCTAACGATGATCTCGTACACAAGATGTGTTCGTTGCTAGTCTCCACAGACATCAATTCTTGATACTCCTATACAGCGGTGATTTATTCATCCTCTCACCTCCCCAAACCTCCCGCTCCTTGCTAGTTAGCACCTCTGTTCCTTCCTGCGGTGAGGCAAAGCGAAGCGCTGGCACCGCACGCAGCTGCGTCTGATGGGGGCATCCTCAACCTGCACAAAATTAGGGGTATCGTGTGAGGGCGTCGCCCCAGCACAAGCAATCCCGCCGCGTTTTCAAGCAGCAAGGACTGATCCGATCATCCGATCGGCACACCAACTGTGCACCAACGCCATACCCACCGCAGGGTGCACACGCGACCCAGCACACAAACCATACCTCCACCGAACGGCTGTTTCGAAGTTGGCGTTCGTTGGCATAGTCTCGAGACCGGGGAAGGGGCAGGGTAAGGCAACCTTCAGGATCACCCAACAGGCACACCAGGGTTGACAGGAGCAGCTGCAGCTGCGGGCAAGCCAGTAGCACAGCAGCGAGGAGTGAAGAAACTAGGAGCGCTGAGAGATGGCCCAGCCTGGAAGGAGCCCGGAGGTGGATGCTGAGCTGAAGAAGCTGCAGGGGGTACAAAGCGGTGAGAACCGGGCCATGTATGGTGCCTTTGATCAAGAGAGCAAGCGCTGCCTGTGCGTTCCGGACCGTAGGCGCGCAAAGCTCTCCTGTAGCTCGTAGATAGTGGTTGCTGCACGGGCGAACAGCATTGATTGTTGACCGCGCTCACGAGTTGCTGGCGCCCCCTGTTGGGCGCGTAAGAGGACGACTGCCGACCTGCAGCAACATCGTTTAGCGACCTGCATTGGTGCTTGCAACACACGTGTCCAAGAACAGCAACAATGCCGCTCTGCAAGGAGCCACCCTCGCTTGATATCTCTCTATTTGGTCCAGTACAGCAGTACACAGCAGTAGACAGCAGTTCATCCTGCCGAAAGATACGCCCATCACGACCGGATCTTAGTCGAATTCTGAGAGAGTTGGGCACGTTCATCTATGCATCTATGCTGCAGACGGGACCAAGAAAAACGAAAATCACCCAAAAAGAGCCGGAAGCATGCAGCCGTGCCCTCTTGCTGCATGCTGCTGTAGCAACGGCAGTCTACTGACTGGTGTATGCGGAGTGTACGCAATAGTCTATGCATACAATGTTTACCTTCGGTTGTCGTCCTGCCGGGTTTCGAACTCCGCCCTCCCCACCCCCCTCTCTGCTTCGGCTTCGCCATCAGAGCTTCAAGCTTTGGCGGCGTCCCGCAGCCAGTTCTACCAGCAAGCGAATGAAAACGGCGTGGTGAAGCAGGTGAGTCCGGTATGCATAGGCCAAAGAGCCGAACAGAATCGTCCCAGCGCTTGTCCTGTGGTGTGGCACGCAACGTCTAGTCCCGCCCTCTACGTTGAAAACTGTTATTGGCTGTTCGCGATAGTGAAACATCTCCTCTCCTCCCATACCCTGCGTTATGCTGTTCTAGGAATTGGACCTGCTGGAAGATGAGGCTCCCGTGTTCAAGCTGGTTGGGCCGGTACGCATGAGCATTGCTTGCGTAGACACAGGCACAGCGGCACTTGTATTAACCGAGGCATTGCTTGGTGATAGCGTCCGTTGTGAAAACAGCAGTCAATCAGCTCGTGCACGCGCTTGACCTACGCGGTGACATCGTTGCAAGTTAGGGCATTGCTTCTCCTGAATATTGTAATGTCGGACGCAGTGTAAGGCGCACATTGCGGTCTCGCGAGGGAAGCGCAAGGTTTCTTGCACGTACTCCAACGCTTGCAGATTCCCCTCAATTGTGCTACTCCCAAAGCCGAGGCGGTGTTTGGGCTCTGTCGATTAATCTGTTCCAGAAAGATCTGCAATCAGAGTGTGAATGTGAAGGCTCTTTCTGCTCTGACACGTGCCACGAAACTGTGGAAACGTTTGATGTTGTACCGGGTATGCACCCAGCCCCCGCTTGCGGGGCCGAGTTCTTGCCATTTTTCGGATGTTGGGCATAGGTCGTAGCCGGGATACCGCCAATTTGTGCCGGATTTCCTTGCATTACTTACGACTGCTCCAGCAAAGAACAGCAGTCAGTATGTCATCGTAGATTGGAAGCGAGGGATGAACAACAAGAGCTAGTCTGGACATACCAGAAATTGAGAAATACAGGTGACCAGCGGTTTGGGTTTTGCTTGAAGCTCTTTGCACAATCCCGGTCTTTGTCTCGTTTCTACTGCGGACCTCGAACGCGTCGACGCGAGCACGTTGTGGCTGGCTTTCATGCGACGAAGTCGATGCCCGTTTGTGGGTGCTATTCTAATCGATACCATGATACAGTTGATGGGTGAAGCAGACCTTCTCGTTGGTCGGTATCATCATGCGACCTATGCTGGCGCTGGCGAAGCTCGACGCTCGTTGAAGCTCGCTGCTCATCTTATTGTACGCCTGTTGTGGCGCTGGCTTTGTAACGCTTTTGTTCCAACTTTTGTTTTGGTTGGACGACACTATTCACCAGAGCAGCGTATGAAATACTGCGTTTCGTGAAATTACACGTGATGTGATCGCAGACAAGGTATGATACGACTAATATTCACTTCACTCGATACACCCGACAATGCGTTATGAAACGATGCAATACAGGTGCTGATTAAGCAAGACCTTGAAGAGGCCAAGCAAAACGTGGCTAAGCGACTGGAGCTTATCGAGCGAGAAATGTACGCCACGTTTACCGTTTTTGCTGGCTTGTGGTATTCACTTTCAATCATTGTCGTGCTTATGTCACGGCAGCTTCCTGCCGTTGCGATTGTTATGGTCGCGTAAGCGCTTGTGTCTTCAAACCTTCATATATGGCCTTCAAACTTCTTCCTGATAAGTCTCCGTGTTAACTTATCCGCGCATGAGTCATATATATGCAGTTATGACCTGCGCTTTGACTTTCACGCTGGGAATTTTACTTCCCCGTCTTACATTGGTGAGTGAAGTTGTAAGGAAGGATTGCATTAAACTACGATTTTTTTCCCGTTGCGTTTCCTTCCCCTATCCTTCTTTGCGTACCACATGTGTGTCATTAATCGTAGTCGGCTTTCTCGATACTTACTTGTGGATTACCTGTTGGCAATTGTGGGAATCCTTTCATTCCGAAAGAGCCATATGTCGGCATTCGGCCTTTTCTATTTTTGTATGTACTTTTCTTCGTGTGCAGTTTTGACGTTGCGCTTGCCATCGTCGCGTGAGTGTTTGTTTGTGTTTTCAAACCTTCTCAGCCGGCCTTCAAACTTTTTGCTGATAAGTCTCCGTGGTAACTTCTCCGCGCATGAGTCATATGCGGTTATATTATGACCTGCGCTTTGACTTTCACGATGGGTATTTCACCTCCCCTTCTTGCAGTGGTGAGTACAGTACGTGCGATATACGGAGGGATCGTTCCGCGACGCAAACGTCGACGTCTCCGTTGTTTTTGTTCCCTTCGCACTCCTTCCTTGCGGCGGTTTTCACACCGACTTCGAACGAACGTGGGGTGCAATTTCCTCTCTCCGTACCTTCCTCGTCGGCCTTCTCCATCGTTGTGTACATAACGTATACCTACATATTTCGGCATTTTGATTCCGATAGAGAAGACTACGGACGGATATGTCCCTTTCACCCCCGACGGGACCGCGCGCTCGTCGAGTGCCGAAATTCTTCACCACTTCCTTGCCTCTCCCAACACCGTCCCTTCTTCCCGCCTATTATTAATCCTCTACCCTCCTTCTTCTTTCCGTCCTCCCGGATACTCACCACCATCCGTCCTGGATGTTGGCCCACAGCCCCATTGGGGGGCGGGGGGCCAATCCTTCACCCTAGTTTGTTAATGCTGCTGCTGTTGAAGTTGTACTCCACTACGTCGTCACCACCGTGCTCATCCAATCTCCCGATGAAACTTCCCCGCATTTTCTTGCCTAACTTGCCACTGTATGATTCAATCCCGTGCCACAAACCCCAGATTTCCTTCGTTCCATCTTACACATTGGGAAGCGTTGGAAAAATGTTTCGTTTTGTTCAGACTCAAGTCCAGACAACATTGCCATAAAAATTTCGGCATCAATAATATCCGAAAAGAGGCTCAGATATTTTTCGGCATGACGTGGTAATTGCCCGCCGCTGATTAGCAGAAAGACTCGCGTACGCCGTTCCCCACGCCTCTTCCTTCCCCAAGAAATAATATAGGTTCGCTTGTGGCTGTTGCCATCTACTGTATCATCCAAGGTGTCATGAGCATCTAGCGGGGGTGACGGTGTTGTTGCCGCAGACGAGCACGCTGTATAGACTTCTTGCACGATATCTCTCAGCCGCTCAGGTGGCGTCCTGTTTCAGTCAACCGAAAGAGAGAAGCGGCGGTTCAGCAGCAGCAAGCAGCAGCAACAGCAGCTTCAACCTAAAATAATCACCCCTTATACCCATGTTTATGGCCTCAGTATCTTGAAAACTTATCTTCAAATGTCGTCAAACATTTACGCGCGCGTATCTGCCGGAGTAAAATAATGTCGAAATCATGGAACCGCGAAGGGGTTCTGCAGATGAGAACAGACTGGCTTCAGAGAAGCTTGGAGAGAGCACCCACTGGTGACAAGCCTTCCCAACCCTAACGAGGAAGTACGGTAGGAAGAACAGCATACTACCATGCAGCTGACCGAAGCTCAGCTGGCCGCGGCCACCGCCGTGGACTCAGGGAAGGCGGTGAAGGAGTTCGTTTGCTACGATAGCAGTGCCATGCTCGGCTCGTTGCCGACTCTTGCTCTCTCGCGAGTGTGCCAACACAATGGTGCCTCTATCGAGGACATGGACCGCGCTTGAATGTTCGCCATGGCCCTTCCTCTGGTAACCGCACTGGGAGTCGCTACATCATCTACGGAGGTGACGGACGTTTTCGCAGCGCGGAAGATCAGGAGAAAGGGGCGACGGGCTCCCTGACGGCCAAGCAGGTAATCGGGGCTCGGGCGTTCATGGGAGAGATTATCGATTTGTTGCGTGAACATGTGAAGGAGACGGCGGGATGTCTTGTGCTACCAGCCGCGCCTTCGTCAGGTAAGGCACCCGCGCGGGGAGGTGGGTCGGCCGCACCGGAGCCAACGCCG